CATTCTATCAGTGTCATGCTATCTCAGTGGGTGGTTGGCGGGTGCTCTGGTGTGGTTTGCTTCTTCTTTCATATAAAAAATCAATTGTCCTTATTTCCCCCTCCTTTTTTTATGTTTGTTACTCTCTTGTAACACCTCTAATCTTCTGGCGTTCATATGACCTTATGCAGTTGCGAGCGCCGTAAAGCCTCTACTAAAACAAACATTCTATCTCAACAGCGAGATGCTGGAGCGCGTGTGTAACAACCTCTACGACGTGCTGCGCCCACTCATCATCCACATCAACCACCTCGAGACCCTCTCCGAGCTCTGCAGCATTCTAAAAATAGAAATGATGGAGGAGCATGTCCGACAGAACCGTGAGTGGAGGGGGAGCTTAGGATGGTGGGGAGGGGGGGAGCTTACACTGGAGGGGAAGGGGTGTTGTTGGGAGTGGAGTGGGGATCTAAGGGAGAGGGATGGAGGGGGTTGGTGTTGATTATTGTCCTGTGTTTTGCCGCTTCTTCCGTTTATTTTTGTCCCGTTTCTCTCTCTCTCTCTACCTCGCTCTCTTTTTTTCTTTCAAACATTAAATGTAGTCGTTTGGTTGACAAAGTGTGTGTAACAATGTTATACCATTTGAGGAGTCCAGGGGAAATATGGGAATAGTCACAAACTGAAAATCGTGGGGTATCAATTTGGAACGCTTGTAGACTCATAACTGTATTTCTGTTCAACTGTTGGTTGATTATTGTTGGTAGATTTCCCATTCTACAACGCTTAACAATAGACCACCAGTCAAACAGATATGAAGTTATGAGTCCACAAGGAGTTTTAAATCGACACCCTCACAATTTCCAGTTTGTGGCTTTCATTTATCTTTTATCATCATCCCCATCCCAATCCCCCATCCCAAGAACTGGCAGTGTTTGAGTCAGTGAGCTTCTTTTTCTTCTTCATATGTTATCACTATCATCATCACTATCATCATCACCATCATCATCTCCCCACCCCTAGAACTAGCAGCGTTTGAGTCAGTCCAACAGATTATCACTGTCATTATCACTATCACTATCATCTCCCCAGCCCAAGAACTAGCAGCGTTTGAATCAGTCCAACAGATTATCACTGTCATTATCACTGTCACTATCACTGTCACTATCATCTCCCCAGCCCAAGAACTAGCAGCGTTTGAGTCAGTCCAACAGATTATCACTGTCATTATCACTGTCACTATCATCTCCCCAGCCAAGAACTAGCAGCGTTTGAGTCAGTCCAACAGATTATCACTGTCATTATCACTATCACTATCATCTCCCCAGCCCAAGAACTAGCAGCGTTTGAGTCAGTGTGCCAGCAGATGTTGATGGACGTACAAGAGCGACTGGTCTATCGCACCTACATCTACATCAAGTCAGACATACTACAGTACAACGCTGCCGCTGGCGACCTCGCATACCCAGAGAAGCTGGAGATGATGGAGGTGAGTACAACACACACCTCACACCCACTCACCCCTCACCCCGCACCTTCCCCACCGCACACCCCCTACCCCTCCTGCAGTACAACGCTGCCGCTGGGGACCTCCCGCTGGGGACCTCGCTTACCCCGAGAAGCTGGAGATGATGGAGGTGAGTACCAAGCACCCCGCTCACCCCTTCCCTGCACCCCTCACCCCGCACCCTCCCGTTCCCCTCATTCACCTCCCCTCCCCCCCTCCTATAGTACAACGCCGCCACTGGGGCCCTCGCAGACCCTGAGAAGCTGGAGATGATGGAGATGAGTACCAAGAACCCCAC